ATATATATATATATTTACACTTTCAGCCAACACACTTTCAGAGAACTACTGGCAAATAGTTTGTTATATATTTGGTTTGCAGTGAGTTAGATCACTTGAATAGCCTGTGTCTATCACAATGACTTAAGTGCTAAACACTAGCTTGTATAACAACAATTTCTCAGGCTTATCATGCAGAGTGATAACTAAGGTATAGTAGCCATTAGAATTATTCATAAAAAATGACATTTTAATAATGTAAAGCAGGTAAGAGCCCAGTGTGTTTGGTAAGGTGTAAACATTGTGCAACATTCAAAATTGATAACAGTCGAAGGCATGGTTAGTAACATGAAACATGTCTTGTTTAGAACACCAGGAGTGAAGATACTTGGTACATCTAAGTATGGAGAACATGTGTTTCACTCCCTTCCAGTGATAGTGCTGGTGCTCAGCCATTGCCTGCTCAGGCACTCCGTGCTGTCACATGGGGAGAAAGAGCTAGTGTCACCTTTCCACTTCAATAGCTTTAGCTTGGGAATGACAGCTGCCTGCTCAGGCAGCTGAAGTTAAACACAGCAGGCAGTGGTCGGGAGCAATGGACTGCAGCATGCAGCTAGCTACTAGCAATTAGGAGAACAGGAGAAGCAGTGCTGAATTGGCGGCGGAGGTGGTGGCCGGGGATGGGGCAATTTCTAGTCACCATGGCGACCTGGCACCTCGGATTTGTCGAAACCCTGCACTAGAACATGTGTTGTTCTTTATCAGTGATAGCCAACAGGCCTTGTCACCTCAGTTCCCACACAGAGAGGCCGCATTGTATTGCAGGACATTGTAACTTTTTGTAGCTTTCAATGCCAGAGTCTGCAGGCGGGTCCAGGAAGCCGTTGTGCCGCCGGGTCTAGGCAGGGAAGGAAGACTGCTGATGGGACCGTGAGAGAGGCGGCCCGGAGGCTGCAGGTGGCTGGAGGAAGAAGCTTCGGCGGCCGGACGAAGATGCAGGAAGAAGAGGCATATCCTAGAAGCAGGCTGGGGAGCTGCAGGTAAGAGGAGCAGCTTGTGTGCAGGGAAAGGGACCATGTACAGCCCATAATAGATCCTGCACAGCCCACTTGAGAGTCTCTGTGCAGGGTCTATGGTGGGCTGTGCAAGGTCTATGGTGGGCTCTGGAGGGGTCTCTGGTGGGGTTTTCAGGGGCTCAGGAGGGCTGTGCAAGGTCTACGGTGGGATGTGCGGGGTCTTTGGCAGTCTCTGCCTGAGACCCTGCAGAGCCAACCAGAGATCCTTTACAGCCCACCTCAGACCCCTGCAACGCTAAGGCCTCATTCACCCAGCTAAGTGTCGGCCCATACAGATCCATGTGGCATACACGGTTGTAACGGGGCGTTCCTGGGAAGGACAGGTGTTACGTGTGATTGTACGCAGCAGCCTGTTCTTCTCTATGGAAGGATGCAGCCGTAGGCACACCCAAACTGCACATCCATGCAGGTGTACGAGTACGGACACCTTCATGGGCGTGCAGGGTGGGTGAGCGTAGGGCAGAGTGCGGCTGCATCCTCCCATAGAGAAGAACAGGCTGCTGCGTACAATCACACGCAGCACCTGTCCTTCCCGGGAATGGGCCGTTACGAGCGTGCACGCCGCATGGATCTGTACAGGGCGGCTCTAAGCTGTGTGAATGAGGCCTAATAGCGCAACCTGTCAGAAGCTGCATTCAGCAACTTGACAGGTTACGCAAAATGTCTTGAACAGGCAGGGGTTGGACGAATTTAGATTGTCGAATTTCGTCTTGCTTAGGGCAGCACAAAACCTAAATACACCACTGGATCTGCCATGAAATGTAACTTCAGAACCTGATCGGTCCTAAAATGTCACTTCTATCCGACTTTGTGAGTGTGGTGGAATGTGAGATTGCAGTCGGAGAGAAGTGACATTTAAGGTCCGATCAGCTGTTTCAGGGCAGATCAGTTCTCCCGCACATGCGATTTGCGATGCCGATCTGTCCTGGAGCAGCTGGGAAAGCGCTGGAATGCTTCACCTATTGGCGGTCATACTTTCCACCGCCAAAAACTGGGCAGGATTACATAAAATCTTGCACCAGGGCCCTTTGGTTATTAGGTCCGCCACTGCCCTAATAGTACTCATAGATGTAAGATGATCATTGCACAGTTTTTACCAACACCTGGGGGTGTAACTAGAAATTACGGGAACCCGCTGCAAACGTTTTATTAAGCCCCCAACAGAAACAAAATACAAAATTGTACAACACTCTAATTACAATAGCAGATGACAAAGGACAAAAGAAGACACGGTAGAGATACTGAGGTGATTACAGGTCTTTAAAGGGAAAGATGGATCTTATTCAATGAAGGGGCTAGAGGAAATGGATAAGTGTACATTTTTAAAAGTACACTTATCTTTTAAAGCGACTCTCTCGCTAACTTAAAATGATGACTCTAAGAATGAGGTGGTGCAGAACAGGGAATGTGTGTTGCAGCACCCTACAATGCATGGTAACGCAGTACTGTGCATTGTAGTAAGCTGTATCACAAAAAAGTATAGGCAACCTTTTTGGTGTGCAAGGTAGCCCATTTAAATAAATTGGCTGCCTAAGAACCTTAACATGTGGCGTAATGCCTATTAATGCATGTAGGCTAATGCAGCGCAGCTGTGTGAATGGGCCATAATAGGAATAACTTGCATCTGCTCAGGCTGAGATTTACCCTGCTCTGTGCACCTTTCCAAATTAATGAGATGCAGTACTATCCAGCCCCAGGGATGAGGAACAGTAGGTGTCTCTGTAGTTAAAGACCTGACAGAGATAGACTTCCACAATAAGCTAAGTTGTTACTGCTTCTCTGGGTCCAGGCTGACGGAGGGCTGCACATGAAATGAGAAATGAACCCACCGATCCTGGAACCCATTTATGACAGTAGTTCCGCCAGTGTTTACAAGTAAGGCTACAGAAATAAACCATAAGTATTTCACCACAAACAGTTTTAATAAAAGGACTATAGTGCAGCAAGGTGGCAATGCTATCCTAGTGTGTGATGGAGAGAAAACCCAAAGTTGGCTGGCTAAGCAATAACATGGTTACTTCCAGTGCAAAAAATAAGGCAAATCGTAGTGTGCCATCAGTGGGGTAATATAAATGTGGATACGTGGTTAGTTGCAGTAGCACACGTTTCAGGCTTTCCCTGACTCTTGTCATGGGGCCCAGATCTGGAAGGGCCTAGTTTGGGCCCCAGGTATGAGAATTAATGATCTTAGAGGTGAAAAAACTTGCTCTGGTCATTCAGCTGACAGACTTTTACCTAATGCAGGCTCTAGCTTCCAGATGAAGAAATTTCACCAGCAGCCCATCTTTAAGTGTATGTTTAGGAACAGCTTCAATGCACCTTCTTAAACTTAATATAATCATGTTATATTAAGCATATTCCCGTTTTTCTCTCTGTCATTTACTCCCTTTTTCTAATGTGTATGCTAATATCCCCGAGTTTCTTCCATGACATATCAAGTACAATGATATATACCCCTTTTAACAACAATTTATATTATTCCATTCTCACCATCATTGTATTTTTGTGACCTCTCACTACTTGTCTGTATTTCTCATCCCTGTTCATAATTTAAAATAAGAAAGCACGTGTATTTTGAAAATGTTTAAATAAGGAGTTGGAAAAAAGAATTGCCACAACAAATGATTGTATGTTTTGATTCTTCAGTTTGTGTTTTGTTTTGTTCTGATATCGGCTATACATTAATTTTATCTAGGAATTCAGCTAGAAAAAGTGTTTGATTACAGTGAGTACTGGGAAGTTGCAAGAGGTCTTTATGCTGCCTTTGACTGCACAGCAACCATGAAATCAGGAAATGCAGATGTTTATGAGAATGAGATCCCTGGTGGCCAGTATACCAACCTCCACTTCCAAGCTCACAGTATGGGACTGGGCAACAAATTCAAAGAGGTGAAGAAGGCATATGCTGAAGCAAATAAACTTCTTGGAGATGTCATTAAGGTACTAACATTTTATGTATGATATATAGTAGAAGATCTAAAAAAGTACTTGGCATATACTGCATGGGCTGGTAAACCAGTCGTTTAACATTAATATGTATGCATTAAGTCTGCATATCCACACCAATGTTGGTATACTGTTATAGTGTTTGCTAGGTATCTTAGAGTTTGAGTGTTCCTTCTCCACTGTTCTATTGTATTAGCCATTTGAAGCCAAGTGTGTCCTACTGAAAACAATGGGGGAATTTATCAAAACTGGAGCAGACAAATTCTGGAGCAGTTGTCCATGGCAACCAATGGGCTTCTCACTCTCATTTTCAAATCTTACCTGAGCAAACTGTAAGAGAGAAGCTGATTGGTTGCCATGGGCAACTTCTCCAGATTTTGTCTGCTCCATTTTTTATAAATTCCCCCCAATGTTTATTTGTAGGGAATTTGAATATTTATTTTAAAATAATTAATTGTGTCATATACTGCTAACTGTCGCACCACAATTTAATGCATTTACTAAAAACTAGGTGGATATAGTATGCCATTGTTACATTTTGATGGGTAAATATATATCTTGTAGCAGGGTCTCTGTGAAAACTGTCGGGCTGCCAGGCAAAGTATTCTTTATCTGATTTAAGGTAAAGCCAGCAAAGATCCTGGAGTAAAGAAATATATTCCTTTACCCTGTCTTGTTTAAAAACATGTACTGGGACTTATCTTACTGGGAGTCCGTGGACCACAGTTTGGTGGTTGCAAGGCAGATTCTTTTTATTGCAGCTGGACCTAGCTGAGGGGGAGAGTGTACCTCGGGTCAAAGAGGCAGGCAGTGTGCCTTGTACTAAAGAGAAGTCTGCTAAATCTTAATCTGTCAGTGTGACGGGATCCATTTGATGAACTGGGGCTGTTCCAGGAGAGGAAACTTACCTGAAACAAGCGACTTCTACAAGGATTCGATCCAGTAAGGCTCAGTTTGTTTGTTACATTTTATGTATGGGTGGATGCCTTTCACCTTTATGGTACATTTAGCGCTACTTCACACCAGATGCAGTTGTGATGCAGTCCGTTTAGTTTGGCTGCTGCAGCCAAAATGCATCACAATGCTTTCCTATGGGATTTCTGGCTCTTTATTCACACCAGTGCAGTCCGTTCTGATGCAGTCTTGCCCTATTTTAGCTGCATCGGATTGCACCGAAACATATCAAATCGAATGCAAATGCACTGGAAGTCCCATTTTAAGCAACAAAAAAAAACGAAAATGCATCAATCTCGGGAAATCTGGTGTGAACTAGCCCTAACTTGGAGAAAAGAGCTGCAGTTTTGTGAAAGAAAATGGAAGTTTGCCTTGAGTCTAAATTCCCGCTAGTGTGTGTATGTGTGTGTGTGTGTGTATGTATATATATATATATATA